CCCCCCTTTTATTGATATAGGATCTAACTGTGTTGCCTCTGGTGTCCTCAAACTGCTGGGCTCAAGCAATCCTCCTGTCTCAGCCTCCTCAATAGATGGGACCACAGGTGCATGCCACTGTGCCCAGCTGAGGTGGGGATTCTTATGCTCATTTGACAGATGAAGAAACTGAGGCTCAAATCCTGACTGCTCTTCCTGTAAAGCTGAGACATCAGGGCTGGGGATTTAGCTCAGCGGCACAGCACCTGCCTGGCAATCGCAAGGTCATGAGTTTGATTCCTGGTACCAGGGGGGGAAAAAAAAAAGCTGAGACACAGTGTCACCATGCCTGTTGATTTGCACCTTGGGGAAGTGGCTGCTGTAATAGAAATATGTTATCTACAAAAGAATTGGAGGGGTTGGGGATTTAGTTCAGCGGCACAGAGCCTGTCTGGCAAGCGCAAGGTCATGAGTTCAATTCCCGGTACTGGAAAACAAACAAACAAAAAAACCAAGAATTGGAGCCACAGATTTCTATCAGAGCTGACCACAGATCATAAGATCATAAGTACCCAGACCCTCCACCAAGGAATCCAGCACTAACTAGTACATGCCAGAGAAGACCTGGGCACCAGGATCTCAGTGGTGGTGGTGGCAGGGCAGCCATCTGGCTCCTCGTCCAGGCCGAGGGACTTTGGCCTCACCAGTTGGTCTCACTGGGCCTAATGTCACTGACATTTTACCTGTCCTAAAAACATTAAATAAGGGAGTGACTAAGAAACAGGCCATAGACAAAAGTCTCAACATACCCGACCGAGACCTGCAACTACCCCCAGGTGAGGAGAAACACGGACGGGCTATGGGAACTGGGCACCCTACTTGCTAGATCAAAACTTTCCCTTGCTCTCCTTCTCCGTCACCAAAGGAAGCCTCCAGACACCCTTTCCAATTGGTGATGACAAGACGCAAGGCACAGGGCCTAGAAACTTTGCCACACCTGCAGAAATATCTGAGACCTGAAAAAAAAAAACCAATTGACTCCAAAAGTGCAGGAAAGAAACTGTGCCATGAAAATCAAGAATTCATTTTAAAAGAAACACTTAAAAGTTCCTTAAAACCTGTAATCCCAGCACTCAGGAGGCTGAGGCAGGAGGACCGTTGTGAGTACCAGGTCAGCCTAGGCTACACAGTGTGAGTTCAAGGCCAGCCTGAACTACAGAGTGAGACCTTGTCTCAAAGCAAACACAAAAACAAAAAAAAAATTCACTAAAGCCATATACGATATGGAATCATTTTACTATGATTTGTGCTTGGGAAAACTCCCAAAGTCATTCCTAGGACATAAGGAAGGCTTAAAGTGGCTAGAGGTGAGCTCACAGGTGGTCAGAGAAAGATAAAGGCACCTATCATTTATTCAGCACCTACTGAATGCCAAGTATTGCACCAAGCCCTGTATCCGTGCAGTACAGTGACAAAGCTGTGAAATACTTTGTATCATCCCTAAGAAACACTGGGGCATTTATTACTGCTCTTCTGTGTTCCCAGGACTCTTGCCAAGTCAAGTGAACTTTCTGAGTGGACAGAACCAGAAGGTTCTTTTTGGTGGGGGTTTCTTTCTGAGGCAGGGTCTCCCTATGCAGTTCAGGCTGGCCTTGAGCTCACTTTGTAGCTCAGGCTGGTCTCAAACTCGAGATGATCCTCCTGCCTCAGCCTCCCAAGTGCTGGGGTTACAGGCGTGTGCCACCATACCCAGCCCAGAACCAGAAAGTTCTAACAAGTATTATCCGAGGAGCACCAGGAACTGGTGCTGGCATTATCTGTAGGAGCCAATTTCCTGCCAGTACCCTAAGTCCACTGCCCCTTGGGTTGGTCACACAAGGAAAAAGAGCAAAGGATGGTGCTGCTCTGTCCTTTAGATTATAAACCGCACCCTGCAATGACTGAGTAGAAGAGAGCACCACGGAGCCGCTGGACCCTGCCCTTCCTGGCAATAGCTGGCCTTGCGCATCCTCAGCGGGCCTCCCAAGAGGTGCTGTTGTTAGGTGTTCGCCCCCTGGGTTTGCTGAGCAAAGCTGTTGTACAGGAAGTGTCCGCCAAGCATTCGGCCAAGCGGCGCTGTTTCGGTCACACACTGGGTGAGATCTGCACGTGCACTGTCGCTCAGCACTTGCCCTCTGTGTGATCTTCTGAGAGGCGCTTTTGGACCCAAACATGCTCTTGGGGACAGCTCCATTGCCAGTGAGTCCTAACTCTATCCTTCCCTGTTAGAAGTCTTCATGATCCCCACCTCTCACAAGCCATCCTTGGATATTTTCTTTGGTCTCTTGGCAACCTGCTCCCCTGCCCCAGAACAACTAGGCTGCGAACGAGACCTACATTCTCCAGGTGTGCTGGTTTTACAGCAGCAGACCTGGCATTCACATTGTGCCAGAGCAGAAATTATGGCAGTGTGCTTTACTCTGCCATTGATAGGCAGTGTGGCCTTGGAGAACGATAGTCCCTCTTCTGTTCGTCCCTTAAGCATTTATAGCACTGTACTTTGCACACGCATGATCTCAGCGAGCTACCATGGTGTCACAAGCACTTACCTCGGCTCCTATTGTCTCTGTTTTCTAGACAGTGAAAGACAGGCTCAGGGTCATATCAGAATTCAAAGGCAGAACCAGCAGAAGACCTAGGTTTCCTGGCTTGAAGCAGAAAGGACATGCATGTATTTTGGCCTCAGAGAAATCTTTTGAGTCATGGCTCTTCCATACAGGCAATTGCCAGTTGATTTTTTTTTTTTTAAGACAGCGTCTCACTATGCAGTTCAGGTTGGCCTTGAACTCACTGTGTAGCCCAGGTTGGCCTCGAACTGATGGCAATCTTCCTGCCTCAGCCTCCAAGTGCTGGGATTCCTAGTGTGCGCCACGATGCCTGGCTAGCAATTGCAGCTTAAGCAAGGAATTCCCCTGGCTAAGCCTCAGTTTCCTCGTCTATAAAGTGAGAGAGACCCACAGCAAACAGATGTCTGTGTGGATAAAAGTTCTCTCTTATGGGGCACCAGGAGGTGAGGGGAGCAGGCCAACCTGGACTCCTCCCCTGGGCTACTCCACCCTTTGGGCTTCAGTTTATCTTGTCTTCTCCTCTCGATCTCTATCTCCGCTGGAGGCGGAAGATAAGCGCACTGAACCGTGTGTCTGAGGCTCTCCCAGTTCTGCCTCGCAATTCCAAGACTCCTGTCATCACTGTAGATAATCCACACCGCAAAGCCATCTCCTTCCCCGGCTCAGCCCTTTGCTGCTGATGCTCAGCAAGGATCACAAAGCACCCTGACTGTAGTTCCTCCTCTGCAAGCGAGGGGGCTCTCGAAGACATGGGGTTCCCTTGTTAAACCCAACATGTACCCCTAAGAGCTCCCCATTAGGAGCTTGTTTGTTTGTTTTGTTTGAGGCAGGGTCTCACTTTATAGTCCAGGCCGGCCCCCGTTTGTAACCCTCCTGCTTCAGCTTTCCCAGCGGCGGGACCACCAGCCTGCTCCAAGCGGGGCGCTACTGAGGAGGCAGCAGTGACATCACCATTCCCAGGCTAAACAAGAAGCAGAACTGGAGCTCCCCTCCAGTGGCCGGTCTCCCTCAGCCCCGCCCAGCATTAGGGGGCTGGCTTTTCTACCGTGCTGACCCACTGGAAAAACCTGTCTGTTTTTCTGCCATAGGAAGCCAAGGAGTATGTGGCGAGTGTAGGGCAGCATTTGTGTGGGAGGAGAAGCCAAGAAGTTGGCGCCCCTCCTCAGCTCCTGGCTACAGAAGCTGGAGGTCAAAGGCAGCTTTATGCAAAGCAGGGATGGCCGCTGGCTGATTGGTGTCTGTACTTCTGGAGGACCTGGGATCTGAAAAAACTTATAGGTACTGTGGAATGCTTTTTAAATGCTTTTGTTTTAAAATTATACGTGGAATGTGGGGCATGGTGGAAGGCCGGGCGTGGTGGCGCACGCCTGTAATCCCAGCACTCAGAAGGCTGAGGCAGGAGGATCATTGCGAGTTCGGGACCAGCCTAGGCTACAAAGTGCATTCAAGGCCAGCCTGAACTGCATAGCGAGACCCTGTCTCAAAAAGACAAAAAAATAAAGAAATAAGTAAAGTTATACGTGGAAGATGTACATCCCAGCAGGTCTGGAGAAAAGACAGTATCTGTAAAGCTCACCTTCCTGAGGACATATGCAAGAGCATGAAGCTTATAGCTGCTCAGCATAGACTTTTTCCTGTCACTTCTTCACTACAGGATCTTGGGCAGATGTTTGTGCCCTGAGCCTCATTTTCCTCATCTGCAAAATGGACCTAATGATAACCTACTTTACAAGGGCTGTCAGATCAAATGGACTTGGGTGCTCCCGTAGTCCTAGGTATTCATGAAACTGAGCTAGGAGGCTCACTTGACCCCAGGAGTCCAAGACTAGCCCAGACCACACAGGAAGACCATATCGTAAGAAAGAAAAAAAAACAAAACTTTTTCTCTTACATTTTTTTTTCCCTTACATTTTTCAAAACAAGCTTTAAAAGGACAGCATACGTCAAGCACTCAGGCTCACTGTGAGTAAGTATGTGGAAGCTCCTCGTGCTATTTGCCATAGTGGTTTGTTTTTAACAGCACTATATTATAGACAGAGTGTATTTAGACAGCCTAGGTTCCTGTCCAGACTCAGACACTTACTAGATGTGTAACCTTGAGCTAATTACTCCTGTGACGTTCAGTTTATAAAATGGGAATGACAATGCTTCACAAGGCTGTTGTAAGAGTGCTATGTAGAGCCAGGCGTGGTGGCACACTCCTGTAATCCTAGCACTCAGGAGGCTGAGGCAGGAGGATTGTTGCAAGTTCGAGGCCAGCCTGCGCTGCAAAATGAGTTCAAGTTCAGCCTGAACTGCAGAGCAAAACCCTGTCTCAAAAAGACCAAAAAAAAAAAAAGTGCTATGTAAAAATAATTTATGCAGAAATCTTAGCAGCGCCTGGCACAGTATAAGTCCTTAGAAAATGTTACTTACTGTTTTTAAGTTTGCTGTGTTGAAACAAAGTCTTGACACTTCTCCACCAGACGGTTGTGTCATAATCTATTCAGCTACTCCATTCTTGTTAGCAACTTTTCATAACATAATGCCAGGAACATCTTTTTGTATTTGAGGAGAAGGGTGAGTTTTTAAACTCAGAGACTCTGGTCTGACCTGGAGGTACCCATTGGCATTTGGATTTCTAAGAAAACATATTTTTAAGGGGCTGGAAGATTCTTTCAATTATTCCCAAGCAACCAGCCAGACTGGCAAAGCGGGACCCCAGCGGGGACCTGGGGTGTCTGTCTCCAGGGTGGCACAGGGCTTCCGTTCTCAGCCTCTCGAGCCAGTCGCCCTCACAGGGACTGGCGCAGTCCTCTCAGGGCTTGTCCCAGAGGTGACCTCTCGCTTTGAGCCGCAGGGTCTGCGTCCTTCCCGGGCATTCCGCTCTGGGCTCCTGGCTTCGGGGATGCCCGGCCATACCCGCAGAGCGTTTGCCCAGGGGTAGTGTGTGAGAAAGGCGATCGATCAGAGGAGCTTCTGAAGGGCCACTGCCCCAGACTCCGGCCAGAGAACTGAGCCCCTTCTTCTGCCTCGGCGGAAGACAGCTGTCTCCTCGCTGCTGAAACTGCAAACCTTGGACTCCCGCTGATTCGTCCTTTTCTAACAGCCTCAGCCGGCCACACATCTTGTTCAGATCCGAGCATTTCCCACAGGCCTGCTCCAGCTGCCCGGCTCCCGGGTCCCTCCTCTCCTACTGCACACCGGCGGGAGCCTCCTCGCTGGTTTTGCAGCTCGTCCTCCAGCAGGGTGACCACCCCTGCCAGTCCGCGGGGCCTGCCGGAGAGCCCGAGGCACGGACTTCCCACGCTGAGAGTCGGCAAGTCCCAGCTGAGCCTGGAGGAGCTGGTCACCCTCCGTTGGCCATAGTAGGCCTCTTCTCAGGGCAGCAGCTCAAATCAGAGCACGTGATGGCTCTGCCCAAAACCGCGAAGGATGGAAGCTGCCCTTTCGCTCTGAGCAGCGGCCTGAGCCGCCTCCGAGCTGGAGCCGCCCCGCCCGTCCTGCCGCGGCCCGATCCTCCAGGCCCTCCGCTCGGCCGCGCCGGTTCCCTTGCTGCCCCGGGGCCTGTGCGTCCAAGGCTCGAGCCCTTCCGTCCTCTCCCGGAGCGATCTCCTGACACCCACACCCCGCGCTCTCCCCTAGGCCTCTCAACTTACTGAAACGCCCCCAGCGCCTCTCTGACCACCCAGGGCGTGCCTCCTCCCCGCGCCCCCTGCTTCCCTATTCTACTTTCTCATTTTCTCTAACACTTACCTCCTGGGATACTGCATTCACTTGTGTCGATTTTTTTTATGTCTCTCCCCTGGTGAGGGACTGTGTTTGCTCTGCCTTCTTCCTAAGTGCTAGAATAATGCCCGGTGCAGAGAAGACCCCTAACCGATGTTGTGTGTGTGTGGTGGGGCTAGAAGCCAGGGCTTCATGTGGTTTACCACTAATGCCACTGAGCTGTGCCCTTAACCTTCCACCAATGCTTTCTAAATAAGTTTATCAATCTGCCGTGCCGCCTGCCGCCTCTGCACACTGGCTGACTCTTGGGTACCAAGCCCTTAGACAGCCGGTGTCCTGCCCCCGGCCAGCGCTCACCCCTCTCTGTTTGCGGGCTCCACAGCACCCTCTGCGGTGGTGGCCGCCCGGCTGAGCGTCGTTCCCTGCGTCCCCGCCTCGCGGTTTTCAGCAGCGCTTTCTGTGAGCAGCTGGCCGCAGCCCGGCCGGAGTGCACAGCCCGAAACAAAGCCATCAGGTAGCCCTGCCCGCCTACCTGGCGCGGCGCTGGAGACTCCGCAGACGGCCAGGAAAATCGGCCACAGCAGCGGCCTCATCCTCGGGGCGCCCCTCCCGGCAGCCATCTGTCCTCTGGAGCCGTTCCTCCCTCTGCGCCGCAGGTTTTGGAAGGAGTTGCTGCCGGCCACGTGCCTGAGCGGGACTTCCTGCTACCTATGCGCCAAGCCGGCTCCCCTGGCTTCTCTCCCTCTCCCAGCAGGGTGTGAGCGGCGCGGGGCCGCCGAGAGGTCACCGGGCAGGGCGCTGGCAGCAGACCTTTGCACTCTTCCGCGCGAGCAGCACCTGCCTCCCCAGGTGCTGCCTGTTAGAAAAAGAGCCTTTCTCTTTTTGGCATATGTATGGAAAGAGTATGGACAGGGTGATCTGATCTCTGTACTTTGCTTCAAAATAATCTGGCAGGGGGCTGAGGTCTGACTCAGTAGTAAAGCACTTGTCTGGCATGTGTCAGTCCTTGGGTTTGACTCACTGCACCATCAAAATAAACAGGGGCCCTGGGATATAGCTCAGTGGTATAAGCGCCTGCCTGGCAAGCGCAAGGTCCTGAGTCCGATTCCTGGTACCCAAAAACAAAACAAAACAAAACATAAAAATAAACAAATATAAATCATCCCGTAGGCTTGGGGGTGTCTCAATCCAACCAGCAACTGCGGTCTCCAGGAAACCCACGTACCTCAGCCATGGAGAGGCAAGTATCGTCCACTTCCCGGCTTCCTGTAGGAAATGGCTGGCCTTGACCATGCAAGGAACTTAACTGGTCCTGTGAGATTCTCAAACACGAATGAACCAAATCTTGGAGTCACTCACTCATTCATGCCAAGAAACACACAGCCGGGAGCAGGTGGGACCCAGCGACGGGCCCTTAAAGAGGCACAATAAGCCACTGGTTTGAGGCTGGGGATTTAGCTCAGCGGCACAGCACCTGCCCGGCAAGCGCAAGATCGTGAGTTTGATTCCCGGTACCAGAAAAAAAACAGGAAAAAAAAAAAAAAAAGCCACTGGCTTGCAGCCCAGCGTGTTGGGTGAGATGAGCATTATGGAGGAATCTGGCTCAGCCTGAGGAAGAGAAGAGGCTGCCGGGAGGAGGTGACTCAGGTCCAGTCCCACATGTGTACCTGTGCTTGCACACCTGCATGATGCTAGAGTAATCTCACGCGGGGCAAGCACTCCACCACTGACCCGCTTCGTATTCACGTATGAGACAGCAAACAGGAAAACCAGGGACAAGGGTGTCCCAGGCAAAAGCAGCAGCACCCAGTGAGGCAGAGATGCCGAAGCCTCCCAGGACTGATGTCAGAGGGCGCTGGGCGTGGGCTCTCCGCACGGAAAGAGGCAGGAACCAGGCTGCATTCACTCATGTGCGCTCAGAGCTGTGCCGGGCCATGGAACTGTCTTAACTAGGGACAAGGCACAAATTTGCATTTTATTTTATTTTATTTTTATTTTTTTATTTTTATTTTTTCTGGTACCGGGAATCGAACTCATGACCTTGCACTTGCCAGGCAGGCCCTGTGCCGCTGAGCTAAATCCCCAGGCCCCACAAATTTGCATTTTAGAGGAATGGCCTGGACTCCCCGGAAGATGGCTTTTTGGAGAGCCTGAGGCAGAAGAGTTGTTTTAATCCATTTTGTGCCTTGGCCCATTATCCAAAAGAGTGGGTAATTGATGGAGAATAGAAATTTATCAGCTCCTGGTGGCAGCTGGGAAGTCTGAGGTCCAGGCACTGACCAGTTTGGTGTCTGGCGATGCCACTCTTCCAGGATGGTACTTTACACACTGCATCCCCTGTTGGCAAGAAAGGGCGACTCCTTGCATGTCAGAAGGCTGAGAGCCAGGCACAAAAGCATTAATGCCACCTTCCAAAGGGCCCACCACAAAGACAACCAAGCTTTTTGTTTGTTTTTTGTTTTGTTTTGTTCTTTGTTGTTTTTTTTTTTTCAGACAGGGCCTCGCTGCATAGTTCAGGCTGGCCTTGACCTCATTATGTAGCCCAGGTTGGCCTTGAACTTGCAGCAATCCTCCTGCCTCAGCCTCCCGAGAGCTGGCTAGTTAATTTTCTTGCTGTATTTCTTTTCAGTGCTTGGGTTTGAACCCAAGCTCTGGTGTGTGTGCAAGGCAAGTGCCCCCTTGCCACCAGCTGGTAGGAATGTTTAGCCGTGGGGAAGGTGGGAATCAGAGCCTGCTGATCATCACCGTTTCTCACCCCCCTTTCAGAACCCTGTAAAGGTCCTTGTACGGGTTTCTAGGCTGTTACCCATTGGCTGAGGGTCACGGTCAATTCATAAAGAAATTATAAACCGACCAAGGGCAGCTCTTGTGGCATTAACCTGCTGCAGAGGCCGGGATACAGCTCAGCGCCGCAGCACCTGCCTGGCAAGCGGAAGGTCTTGAGTTTGATTCCTGGTACTACCCCCCCACAAAAAACCACTAAAAGTTTTGAGCGGCAGCAGCTATCCGCTCTTGGTGTTGGTAGCTCTGCTCCCCACTCAGACAGCAGCTACTGGAAGCCCCAGGAACTGTTCTGGCCCTGGAGATGGTAGCTCAGAAGTTCTCTGGTGCTCCCCAACATTCCCTGCTGCTCCCCACGGCCAGAGCCATCAGCACCAGCTGCTGGTACTTTTGGCACAGGCAGCCTTTGGTGCCACCGGCTGTAAGTGTACCAGCTTGGCCTGCATGCTCTACTTCAGATAAAAATCATGAACAGGCAAAATGGCATCAAAACAGGCTTTCCGCCACATGTGAAGTTATATGCCTGTAACCCTAGCACTCTCAGAGGCTGAGGCAGGAGGGCTGCAAGTTCAAGTACCACATGGGCATTTGAGCAAGAAAAGGACTGAGGGTGTAGCTCAGTGCAAATCCCCAGTACCATGAAAGGGGGCAGAGGCTGTGTTAGGCCTTACGCTATAGCGTAAGGAGAAATAGCACATGGACCCAGCCCACTAGTCTGTACGGAGGCTGCTTGCACGGGAATCAAGGTGCGCTTGCACATGGGCAGCATCAGACTTTCTGTCTGATCACAGGTAGAGTGTGAGCCCCCTCCAAGGCCTGACAGAGGAAGGCTACAGAGGGCAGAGTCATCTGGAATAGGGGGCAGCAAGGCCTGCTGCAGCCCAAGCAGGACCTGGGGCATCTGAGGCAGCCAAGCTGACGGCAAGGCATCTGCAGAAGAAAAATAAAAAGTGAAAGAGCCTTTCTCTCAGGTCTCACTACCCCTGAGCTGTACTTCCAGCCCTGGATCTTTTTTAAACCTTGTTCTACGCAGGTAGCAAAGCTCCCTAATGTAGAAAAGAATGTGGCAGGGTGTCATCCTGGGAGAGAGCCGCCTCAGGGCTTTGTCCTCTCATCCCCTAGAGAGGGTAGTGAAGGTGGGGAAGGGGCACCCGTAAGAGAGGGGAGCTGGCCAGTCCAGGGCAGCAGAGAGAGGCAACCGGGTGTTAAAACACCGTGTCAGACAGCTGCTAGCACCTCCTCAGACAGGAGGTCCTTGGACAGTGACTTGGGTTCAGTAAACATTGGATGTCTGTTTGGTTCCAGGCCCTGGGGAACACTGTAGTGAACCATAAAAGCTTCTGCCCTTGTGGAGCTTACATTCAGCAGGACAGACCTCACCTAGACGAACCAGTACAGCTGGGCACAGCTGGGCACAGCTGCAGCAGAGTGTGTCACTAGGAACAGCACAGGCTCAGCCTGTGAGTGTGTCCACAGTGGCCACAAACCACCACCGACTACAGCCCCTTCTTTGTTCGAGGCCCTGAAGCATCCCAAGGAGCAGGAGGGCATCAAAATAACCATCACGCCAGGCGTGGGGGCTGGTGGCACCTGCTTATAACCTCGGCACTTGGGAGGCTGAGGCAGAAGGATTGCCGTGAGCTTAAGGCCAGCCTGGACTACATAGTGAGTTCAAGGCCAGGCTGAACTCCATAGCGAGACTAAGCCATCTGAGCAGGCGCCAAAGTCCCATTCAGCTTCTGGCTAGATGTGGGGAGGTTTCTTTTAAAAACCTCAGCTTTTGATCAGTGTCCCAAAAAAGCTCTATCACCATCGCCACCACTAGGGCCATGGGGGATCTTTGTGCAAGAGAAAATGGCACTGCTCCCCACCCCCCCAGCTTTCACATTCGTTTTGGGCCCAGCCCTTTTGGTCCTATGACTGCAGCAGCGCTTATCAGAGGAACACCCTGGCAGCAGAGCACTTGAGGGTGTGGGGCAGGGAGCCCTCAGGTACCAATGACCTTCGCCCATTCCTGTCCTCAGGGCCTCTGGGAAGCCAGGTCTCTGCTCTGTTGGATCCGGGGTTTAAGTCCACAGAGAGCTCCGTCCATGAGGCGAGGAATAGTCACCACAGGCTCTACTGCAGACACGTTGCTCTTTGCCCTCGCCCATTCCTTCAACAAATATATATTAGGCAGTTTCCCTGTGCCACTGCGACAAGTGCTGGTGAGATGATAAACAAAAGCAGTTTCTGAGCCGGGTGTGGTGGCGCATGCCTGTAATCCCAGCACTCGGGAGGCTGAGGCAGGAGGATCGTTGCAAGTTTGAGACCAGCCTGGGCTACAAAGTGAGCTCAAGGCCAGCCTGAACTGCACAGCGAGACCCTGTCTCAAAAAGACAAAAACAAACAAAAAACAAAAGCAGTTTCTGGTTTAGTGGGAGAAATAGGCTTTAGACAGAGTCATACAGAGAAATGGAAAATTATGACCATATTGGTGCCCAATTTGGATGCCACTCTGAGGATTCTGAACTTTCTCTTTCCTATAGGCCCTAGGGAGCCACTGAAGGTTTTGGAACAACACAATGAAAAGATCATAAAATAATGACTCAAATGTTTCAGTTTGCAGCAGCAATGACTGATCCAAAAGAGTAAAGGTCTAATAACGACACTTGTAAGGCATTTGTCAAGTGGCTGATGGCTCAAAAGCTTTCCAGAGCCAAGTGTGGTGGTGCATATCTGTAATTCCAGCTGCTTGGGAGGCTG